TTCTTTTCTTTTTCCTCCAACAACTGCTGTAATTTCTCTTCTTGTTTATTTTGTTGTTCAAGCTGCCACTGTTGCATGTTTTCTTGTAACTGCTGTTCTCTCTCTTCTTGTTTATTTTGTTGTTCAAGCTGCCACTGTTGCATGTTTTCTTGCAACTGCTGTTGTCTCTCTTCTTGTTTCTTTTGCAGCTCTTGTATTGCTGCCATCACGTCTGCTAAGCTGTAGTTTGATTTTTCCATTTTTTTTCTTTTTTGTCCCACTCTCTGACACCAATTTGTTACGTCTCCGTTCGTTAGTTAATTTTCCGTAAATTCGTTCCGACGAAACTTTAGCGACACAAGTCCTTTCTTAAATAAAACTGGTTTATTCTTTCCGAATACAACTTTACCGATACACTTAATTTCAATAGTCGCGCTATAACAAACGTCTCACGTGCTCGACTTTAACAATACTCAGTTCAGTTACACACTCTCTGACTGAGTTCAATTACTCATCACCTTGTGACCGTCTTATATATATATACCATACTATTCCCAATCTAGTAGTCTTCCGATAATTCATGAAGGTTCGAGAAGGACGTGGCGTGATACTAGTCACAGTGATGTATATTTCAGTGAAGTATTTAGTACAAGAATTCAGTTCAGTGTGAGAAACGTTAGTGAAGAATCGCATACATTCAGTGTTTGCAGTCTATTAAGTTAATCAGTTGATTAAAAAAATATTTTTAAAAGTGAACTTAGGCCTACAATTGAATACAAGCGAAAGAAACCTGTAGCAAACATTAAGGAATAAATAAACTAATTTGTTTCTTGATATGGACTTGGCCATATTTTCACCAAATAATCCAAAAAAACTTACTCAACGATAGGACATTTGGTTTTGGTTTGATTGTTGTTAAATACCAAGTTAAACAATGGGATATTTGTGTTCTGCCAACAATGAGTATCGAAACCCGATATTTAGCGTTGTAAGTCTGTAGACTGATTGCCGAGCCGTTGAGGGAAACGATGGGTCATGCCATAACATTATGTTATGTTAATATTCCCTTTCACGAGTTAAAAAAGAAAAAAAAAAGCTAAACAATATGTGTTATTTTAATATAAGCAAATATACATATCACATTGATAAATCCGGAAGTAAAACAGCTGAATAATCATTAATTAGTAAAACTAATTAGTAATTGCTAGCAAACTACTGTAATTCCAGATGAGAACTTTACGAAAAATCTGGAAAATTATTTAGTAAAACAAATTTACTCTAGCGGAGTAAAATTAAACTAACCGAAACGTCACACAAGTGTAAGCTCGGTGTTTGTTGTTGTTTCATTTTATATAAGTAGGCCGTGTTCAAATTCTATGTGTATAGTTCAAACATGACAACAGAAGAAAAGTTCCGTGCTGCTGTAAAAGTTGTTCGAGGACTGCCGAAAACTGGTAGGATAGGACCCTTCGTGTTTAAATTTTAAACAAGAGTATGTAGTGTAGACAAAATTGAACGAAGTAATTTATTCTATGTACCGAGAATATATGTATTATTAGTCTATTGCTTTATATTAATAACAAATATTATGTGTTAGTTATAATATAGATACACAACGCAACAACTCCATAATACTGCATTATTGTGAGTCGGGGATCATGTTCTAATTAGTATTACCGATAGTTTATTACTAATATTATAAGTTATTAATCTTAAAATGCTATTTAAATTTTTCTACAAGTGTCAAACAATCTAATTTAAAGGGTTGGTTAAAGCGTTGAAATAAATAATTTTAGGCGCGTAATTAGCTTGTGAATGAAACATTTTTTAATTTCAAACTTAAATCCATAAACAGCTTTCTTACACTTAGTCTTTTTTTTTTTTTAACTCACGAGTCTCAGTCAGTGTCATATCAATTAGTACTCGAGTGGAAGCATGAACGTGATTGAGATAAATATCACGGAGACGAATTGTTCTTCGTAAGTTCATAACGAAAACAGTGAAAAGAAAAAGAAGTAAGAGTGACGTTGAACTAGTATAGAGAGAAAACGTTTATAAAGGAAACACATTTTATAAAAGTTAAAAACAAAAATTAATGAAAGTTAATTGGAATGATTCTTTACACTTAGTGTAACTATTGTCATAAATAATTCTAAATCTTTTAAACATAATCTTATTAGAAATACTGTTTACAAAAAATAAAATATATCCATGTGTTTCAGTAACTGAAATCTTAGTTTAAATATTGTGTAAAGGATTACTTCAAACAACCTCTTTTGCAAATATGAATGTAATTCATACCAATACCCATACCAATAACAGAAGTATAAATTACATGTATATAATTATACTTTAAAATATTCTGAATAATGTGGACCACTGCTGTTGTAATATGCAATTTAACAAGTCCTGAAAACTGTGTTGTTAGATATTACAATTCTTGTTGTAGCAGAACAGGCATATTATACCTTATCTGAAATTTTGGGTGTTTTTTATTATTGTATCAAGTTAATTGAAACACACTTAGAAAATTATATCACAAAACTGTACAAATAAATAAAGAAAGATAAGTAATTATGTATGTATGAAGTGAACTAAAAGCTTCCAGGTATGAGAAAAGTAGGATCAATCAAATTTGAAAAATGATGTAGTGTTTGAGTTAAGATTCCTTCAACAAAACAGAAATTAATGACTAATTTTGGAATTTTTACAGGTTTTCTCACTGACATTGATAGAAATACATACTGTACATTTTATACAGGCAGATTAGTTTTGTTGCCAGTAGTAACAGGCTGATAATTACAAGACACTGTAGTTGTTATTGTAGTTAACTGTGTGTCTTTTCATGATGCTGAAGAATTTTGTAGAATTATGATAGTTAACTTTTATATTCAGTATGTGAAATATTCTCTGAGGAAAAATGCTATTCTATATTTTTTTGTATTGAGGAAAATAAGGGTAAACTGTGGATTTCCATTATTACACTGATGTTTGTATTAAAACTAGTTGTATGGTTAATACTGTAAGTCATGTGTCTGATTTTAGGAAATCTGACTTCCAAGCACTTGAAAATATTTAGTGAATCTTGAGGTAATTCTTAGTGCAGTCAAGCTAGCATAAAATAAGTCTTCTCCTACCAAATATGTGTTTCAGCAAAAGATAATTCTTAGATAAATAGGAAAAATAAGTTATAGATAAAGGAAAAATGCATTGCTTACAGTAACATGACATTTAGTGGTTGAATGGAAGATGCTGTTGTTTGTCAAAACAAAACTTGTGAAAACCTTTAAGACTGAGAGGGATTATGAAAACCTCTTGGATCACTAACTCAGATTTTACATAAAAAAAAGTCAAAGATGATATTAGCTGTTTGAGAGATTTTAAAGGAAACTTATTAGGAAAGAAGAGAATATGTTTGAAATGCTAAAAAATGTACTAGTTTTTGTTTACTTATAAAGGAGAGAAAGAAATGCAAACACTACTTGACAGTTTCTTTAGAGGTGAGAAGGGGTTTTATAATTATATTTCTCTTTATATTTTGGAGTGTAAAAGGATGAGAATTGACTTGTTTCCATTATTCAAACTTGTTAGTGGCTTATTCATTCTTCCTGCAAGTGATTTTAATGTTTGTACTGAGAATAAAAAATGTGGAAATACTGACTTGGATATTAGGAATAGACGGTTAAAACTTTGGAAGCCTAGATGCAAACATTTTTAAAACATTATTAACTTGTACAATAGTTTTCTTGATGCGGTGTGTGATGTTAGTTTGAATGTTTTTTACGTATTTGTTAGATAGGAAACACTAAATATTATTATTACTTGTTTTTATGAGGGACGATCTTAATGGGCCAAATGGCCTTCTGTCATCATGTTTTTTTATGTTCTTATTATTCCTCTTTTATTATTATATCATGTATGAGATAAACAAAGTCTTTAGTAATTCCTTAAGAAAGGACAGCTTCTTTATCATGTAGTTTAGATCTGACTGTTGCACTTCTTAAAAAAAAAAGAATGTGATATGAAATCTTTTTTTTTTTTCTTATACAAACTTCATTTTGAAATCTTACTATGCACTGAATTACACACTTGATTCTTTTGTTCCCCCTTTTTTTACTTGCTATTATCTATGGGGAATTAACTAATTGTTATAATTATCATTAATATATGTTTTATTATTATTACAGTGTATAAAGGTATGAGACTTGATTATTCATAGGAGATTTCTACTACATGTACGTTTGCCCTCAGACTACATAAATGTGAATTTTTCAAATGTTTGAATGATGATGTTGTAGATCAATTTATTTAAGTTGGTTAATGTGTATCAGAACAGAACTACTGATATGTTGTACACATAATTTTTGTGATTAACTGCTCCAGCTTTTTACTGTTCATGTTGATCAATAAATATATTTGTAAGTGTACTGAGGAACTTGTGCATTGTACACTTAAGTTTAGGATTCTTTGCAAGCATTATGAAAATATAATAATAGCTCAGTTGTCTAATCATGACTTTAAGTAAGTTAAATAACAAATAATTAGAAGGAAATGTGCATAATTAATTTACAAACAGCTTATTTTGTACACAATTTTTTTTTTGTGCTACATAAAACGTTTGGTTTGAAGGTTATGAGGTCAGTGACTCACTGCATGGGTACAGGTACATGTGGCTTGTTTGTGAAAATTAGTTAGATATTTGGGAATATGATATACATATGATTTCTACTTTATTTTGGAATAGTTTAAACATGATTAGTTAACATTGATATCTTTAGACATAATATTTTAAATAAATGGAGGATTTTAGTTCATAAATGATTTTGAACTACAACATTTCTTCTTAATGTCACAGACAGTTCATGTGTGTGCAGATAATTTTATAGAGTAGCTTAAATGTAAATTCAGCTTGAACCTAATTACATTATTACTTATGTTCTCTCCTCCTATGTTATGTTATCCAGAATTTAATTAGTATCTTTCATAAGAGTTGAATTATCAATGTCTATCATGCAGAAATGAAAACACTTGATTTTACAATTTACCCAGTGCAATTGGTGTCCATGCTTCCTTATTTAGAAAAGCAGACCTACACTGATTTATTCAATCAAAAAGTTAGCAGGGATGGGCAGAAATCCTGCTTTACTCATGAAGTCCATGAGTGACGATCTACCATAGATAGAAATTGACTAATATCTAGTACACACACATGCATGTGTGTATATATATATACTCGCACACACACACACGTACAAACTATGTAAATGTATCTAGTCCACAAAGTATGTAATAATATGTGATATACATAGTAGACAATTATTCCATTAGAATAACCCAGTTTCTTGAAAGACATACTGGTGTGTGTTATATGCTATATTTTTCTAGGATGCTCTAGCAGTTACTTTTTAAACTGAATACAAATATATAGAAAATGAAAAAATTGCAGTTAGTTTTATTGGCTGTTATATATATAAGATAAAAAATCTATACAGTATGATATAGTTTTCAAAATTTTTATATATTTTATTTTTGTATACAACAAAATGATGCTTTTATACATTTATTATTCTATTGTATCAGATATCACATTAACAGGACAATGAAGATCTGTTTGACATGTAGGTTTCCAGTGATACTGATGATAAAATACATTTGTGGAATTGATGCAGGTCTAGTAATTGACATTTGTAACTTGAAAAAATGCTAAAAATACAGTGTAGAATATCTTGATAATAACTGTGTCACAATAAAGTTACAGAATTGTAAGGAGAATGGAAACTAACCAACTTTCTATTTATCAGTAAATAAAAATATTAATTATGAAGAATATAATTAATCAGTAACCTGTTTCATAATCAAATATTTTGTTTTATTTGTATCAAACATTTTAGGAGTGAGAGAAGAGCTTTGATTATAAAAAAAAAAGGAATATAAAAAAAAGGAAATTTGTTCATGACTTACATTGTACCTGTTTATTTTTATGTTATCAAAATGATAATAAATTATTATATAATAATTTTACTTTATTTTCACTGCTTGGATGGTTCCCTTCATCTGTTTCTATATGTATATCCTCAGTGCAGCTAAACTACTGACACACTTAATGTACATGTGTTTACACTTTTATAAGTCACCTTTACAGGTAAATGACCCATTAATTTATTTGTTTGATTTTGAAGTTGACTAATAATTCTTACAGTGTCACAAGTAAAACTGTGCAACACAAAATAGAAAGTAAAGGTCTTTTATTGCAGATTTGTATAAGAATGTACATGTGCATTACTGTGTCTAGCCTAGTTATCAACTAGTTATAAACTAAGATACATGTAATTTGCTACAACATGTACATGTAGTTCCACTGTTTTTTTTTTGACAAGATTATCCCTCTCCCAACTTAGACTTTCTTTTTCCTTCTGTGAAAAACTTGTTTGTGTAATTCTGTAAAGCATATTGTGCACCATTAGAGTTGTGCATTTTTAATTTTGGTGCTTATTTTGTGCTTGTTAGTTATTTGGTTGTGATAACAAGTAGCAAGTTTCCTCATCAGAACTTGTTCCCTTAAAAATAGGTGTTATGTTTGTCCTTGAAAGCAGGCAGCATTTTCAAGCATACTTATCTGTACTTAATTCTCCTCTTGTATATGACATTAATGTATTAACATTACTGTTTCTGTTTAATAAGGTTAATGTATATAACTATTTTTATGTTTACCTGACATATTTAATATTGTAACTTTCATGTAGAAATGATACACTAATGTGCATTTTATAAAACATTTAATGGGCGAGTTGGTGTTGAATTTACCAGTTTAGTAGTACATTTGCTTGCCTGCAGACAACAGCACAAGGAAAACATACATTATAAAATACAAGGAAAATCAGGACTTTAATCGTGAAGTGTACGGGTTGAGTGTATAGTTTATAAGAAGGTTAGATAAGAAGTTTTTCACATACTAATTTACTGATGTGGTTTGAGGAAACATTAAAAACTAATTATTGCCAGAAACGATAGTGCTTCTAACCAATGAGTTATTTGCTCTGTTTTCATCTTGACTAATTAGGATTGTATAATTGATATTTCTTAGACATAGATTATTAATTAATAATTATTTACAATTTTACTCCAATACTTTATAGATGAAAAATCAATACCTAGAAGAGAATCTTAATTACAGTATCATACATGTACTATATACTAAAATATCATGTGCTTTTTACCTTTAGCATGGAAAATATGTGATTCAAAAGATGTGGAGATATATATATTCAAGTTATATACGTGCCTTATTATCAAATACATTAATTGCTTAGGAGAGTAAACAGATGATTTTCTTTTCTTTCCATGGACTATAATATAACTAACTATACTGTAGTTTGTAAGGTCTGTATAGGTCATTTCTTTGACTAATTATATCTGTATTTTGCTTTGTTTTTATGATTGCTTACACATATTTTTCAATCAAATGCAGTACAGTGTGATGAAAACTAAAAATACGAAGAAATGATTGAAAATTACTTTAAAGATAATTATATGATTGACGTTTTGGCCAAATTATCTTCATGGAGACCTGATGAAGGTTGTTCAAAACATGATCAACATAATTTCTTTTAATTGTTTCTTTGGATATTGCAAGTTATCAAACTTTGTATGTAAACTTTTTTCATATGACATCTTGCCAGTTCCATTTCAAACTTTCTCCAGATTAGTAGAAGGCTTATTTAGTACTGTATCCTGCCAAGCCTACTTCACTTAGTGACCTTTCTTCAAAAGTTCCTAAAAGGCTGATTTAATATCCTTCCAACCCTACTTATTCTGTGAGCTTTCTTCAGGCCCCTAAAAGGCGAATGTAGTATACTGCCAATCTGCTTCAATTTGTGAGCTTTATTTATACCCTTGGCCTTGTGTAGTATCCTTCCATCTCCATTCTGTAAGCTTTCTTCAGGCCTTCTAGAAGGCTCATGTAGTATCTTTCCAACCTTCCTTCATTTAGTGAGCTTTCTTCAGGCCCCTAGAAGGCTCATGTAGTATCCTACAAACTTTACTCCGTGGGCTTTCTTTAGTCTCTTAGAAGTTTTGCATAACGTAATATCCTACCAACTCTACATCAGTGGATGAACTTTGTGTGGATATCGAGAAGGCTTATGCATCATAACCAAGAATTTAGAGAAATATTCTGTTTGCCTTTTTCTTTTTAAATGAACACTTGGGATCTTAATGTTAACTATAACATGTTTGTCTTTGAGAACATATATAATTTTGTGCAGTAATTGTAGTATACAAAATTTTGCTGGATCATGCTGTTTTGTACCATACATTGTAAATGTAAATTTTGGAAATTTAGCAAAAAATATTCATAAAACTGTATGAAGTATTAATTTTTATATTATTATATATATATATATATATATATATATATTTGCATTAAATGGATAGATGACTGAAAGAAAAAAGTAATCCATGTTAATTAAAATTAATGAACCAATATGGTTATTGATGTATATTCACTGTTAGAATCTTATGATGGTAAGTCTGATTAATAGGAAGGTTTACTGATTATCATTAACTTTTTGATGAGTGCTATGATATTTTATCCCTGATTTTTGTTTTAATTTACACTTTACATTTACATTATTTTCAGGACCTTTTCAACCTTCAAATGACTTGAAACTTAAATTTTACTCATACTTTAAACAAGCAACTGAAGGACCTTGTACTCAACCTAGACCTGCATTTTGGGATGTCATCAACAAAGCTAAATGGTATATTTTTTATACATTAACCAAACTGTATCTTCTAGATGTGTTTTTGTTGACTTGTTCTTTGCTTGCACATGTATGTCATCATTGAACTCTCAGTTTACAAGAGTGTTATAAAGATATGTGTGTGTATATATATAACTTATTACTTTATGTTAAAATATTTGTTTGTGTATTTCCCAGTTTAAAACATTTTCAGTTATAAAAGACCAAATGATGATAATATAAGCAAAAACTCATTTAGTAAATGGTTTGGAAGAACATACTTCCAACTGCATTATTCTGGAAGTAAACAAGAAATTAGCAACTTTCTACAAACATACCTACAACAACATAGCGTAAGAAAAAAGTAGAATAAGAATTACAGACTAGATTGTGGAATTAAAACAGATTCAATTGGAACATTGAGAATAAGAAGGTGTTGTTTAATTTTTTTCTTAAGTTTCTTGTGAAAGTTCATTGATAGTTATTGCATAATTAATCATAATTTCTAAATTGAATTTATTTGTACAAACTTAATTATATATATATATATATATATATATAGCAAATATTTAACGTACAGGGATGAGAATTGGTCCCCAATTGACAGATTTTGGCCATTTCTATTGTCAAATTGGCTATCTACCCAATTTGTTCAAATCTGGTGTGAAAAATGTTGGACAGATAGGGATGCTGAGGCTGGAGGCAAAATATTAGTATTAATAAGGTCAATTTAGGAATGATTTATCTACTCTGATGTTTATGCTAAACTGAAATTGATATATGAGGCATTCAAAGAAAAGGGCCATAATAATTTCTGTCAGGAATACTGCCAAGACTTAACTCTGGGGATGAATTTTAAGTAGGTCACTAGGGCTGAATGCTAATTATAGGTTAATATTCAAGGAAGGGCAAGTGAACTTTTTTGGATTTGTTGGATCAGTTCAGTGGAAAAAAAGGGAGCTTTTGGAATGAATGATTTACATTTAAAATTTAAATAGGGTAGGGGCTGGCTTGTTTGCATGGCTATTAATTCAACTGTAAGGGCAACTTTCAACAAGGATTAGACAGTGAAGATGGTTAGAATAATGAGAAAAAAGTGTAGAGAGAGGTATAGTGTGAGAACAAGGTACAAAGGTAGTTTTAATGGTAGGTTAAATTGTTATTATTGTAATTCTAGAAGTATAAGAAAAAAATGTTTCACATTGAGGATATCAAACTAATAGCAATAAAGTTGAATTCTATTTGGGTTTTTGTTAGTGGTTATAACAGGAGAAGACATTTAACTGGAATTTGATACAGACCACGAGATGAAATTAATGAGAAACTACACTGAGATAAAGAATTCAACTGTTAATGAGGTTATAATTATGGAAGATTTTAAATTTAGGCATATAGATTGGGAAATATTAGTCAAATCATGAGGGAGACAGATTTTTAGAAACTGTTCAGGGTGGTTTTCTTTCACAATTAGTTAGAGAACCTACTCGTACCATTGCTATTACAGATTTATTGTTAACTTCTGATAAAGAAATTATTGATAAGACAGAGAATGGGGAACATCTATGTGCAAATGATCACTGCTCAGTTAGATTTGGTGTTGAAATATAGAAATTGTTGAGATTGTGGAAACTGGGGAACATCTGGGTGCAAGTGATCATTGATTTATTAGGTTCAATGTTTTGCTGCATATAGAGACCAAGAATAATGAGATTTTGGTTACAAGTTTCCAAAAAGCAAATTTTGAAGAGATGAGACAAGAATTATCTGCTGTGAATTAGGCAGCTGAATTAGTTGGAGATACTGATAAAATGTAAAAATATTTTAAAAATAAATTTTTAAATATTCAAGACAGGCATATTTTTTATAGATAGAAAAGGGTGACTGCAAGTAAAAAAACTAGGTTGGCTCACAAAGGGTATAAAGAATAATATTAAAGAAAAGCATTATAAATATAAGAAGTTTAAATTAACTGCAATGATGGGAGATTTGAAAAAAGGTTGGCTGAAAATGTAAAAATTAATAGTAATGATTTTTTCACATACATTAAGGGTAAGCAAAATGTTAGGATGGAAGTGAGGAGAGATGATACAGGAAGGCTAATATCTGATGATTATGGGTTGGCTGGGTTATTGAATTTTACCAATTTGTCAGTTTCTACTAATGAGGATTTAAGCAATATTCCTTATAATAAACAGTTACGAGATGGAAACAAAATGATCTCATTAATTCTGAGCTTTTTAAGAAAAAATTGAGAAGTTTAAAGAATGATAAAGCTCCTGGGCCAGATAATATTTCTCCAATAGTTTTGTAAGAGGTGAAGGATTGGTATACGTGAGCCTCTTGCTACAATTTTTATTAATGCCCTTAAATAATAGGCAGGTACCAGAAGATTGGAAGTTGGCTAATTTTACTCCTCTTTTCAAGGGAGGTGATGAAAATTATCTCAGTAATTAAAGGCTTATTATTGTTACATCAGTGGTGGGAAAGTCATTTAACAAACTTAAAAGTTTTATTGTATAACCAGTATGGCTTCACTAGGGAAAATATTTCCTTAAAAATCTTTTTGAAGAGGTTATTGCTTATGTAGATGAGAGTACAGGTGTGAATTTTGTGTATCTATATTTTCAGAAAGGATTTGACAAGGTGCCAAATAAAAGGCTTGTTAAAAAAAAGTTACCTATGTAGGTGTGGTGGATTGGTTGGCTCATTGAATAGAAAACCTTACCTTGAGTCTTACTACATTTAAAATGCAGTTATAATCAACAAACTCTAATGTAGTACTATCAAAGCCCTTTCCTATCGAGCAGAAAAAATGTGTAATACCCAGTATTCTAACATCTTGCTACAGCACATATATTTTCACCATCTCATCATATGCAGCATTGTCAAAATCCTTTTCCAGGAAGTATAAAGAATTGTAATGCTTACTTGTTTAATCATCTTGCTTCTCTAGGAATGTAACCAACAAACTACAAATATAATCAGACTGAGCTACAGATTGGAAGGTCCAAAGCTCGAGTTACTGTATGCTGCTGAACATGCTTCAAAATTTCACCCGTGGGAGCATTGTCAATTCTCCTATTTGGTTAAGAGTAGTCACATAGTCAGTGGGTAGTCATGAATGGTTCCCCACCTTTTGGTCAGTAACAGGGGTGTCACAATTTAAATTTTTTATTATTGTTAGTTGTCATGCTTGAACAGATTTGTAACTGATTAACTGACTTGACTTAGAGCCTGCTAAGGTTAAGAACTGCCAATCTTGCATTCTGGAATTGTCACAGATCACCTGATTAATCAAATCCATGTCTTACTTTTGAATTTTGGTTATTCATATATGCATTAAAATGGTAATAGATTATTAAATCAGCCTGCTATTTCAGAGCAAAATACATGAAATATTTCAGATGGGCTCATATGTTTAGAATTATACAGAAAGTAAATCCTCATATGTGCTTTGTTAATGTATTTCCTTGTGTGTGCTTTAAAGCATCTAAAGTTCTGAACTTTCATGTCTAGTATTTGCCAAACTTGAAGCTAGTTTTGAGTAATTGTGTTGCCCCTAGTAGGGATAGCTATACCTGAACTTTGGGAATCTTACTTGTCCATGTGGGACATGTTATGCCATTTAGGTTGAAAATACTATATACCTACAAATATAATCATGAAAACCCTCTAAAAAAAAGAAAAAGAAACCTTCTAACACCCATACTTTAAACAATTTGATGCATTAGGAAAGTAATACTCTGTGAAATGTGGCATCAACAATACCCCCTTTCAAAGGGCATGGAAAAACATTTATAACAAATATCTTAAGCATCTTAGAAAATACAGTCACCAAGCTATCAAATGTGGCATTGTCGAACCTTTTTAATTGGTCAAGAAAAGCAAAGAACACTACTGAGTCCCTCCCCCCACCTCTCATAAGGAAGATTCTCACAAAAGTGAGAGATCCTACCACAAAAATTAACAAACTAGAACATAACTTTTGTAAATTTAGAGAAAATTATTTTGCCTGGAAAAAAGTATATCTATTAAACAGTGGACTAAATTTTGCTGCTACTTCACTTGTAGCCATGCTGTTTCCATATTACAAACTGCTGTAATCTAAAAAAGCATGAAGCAGGAGAAGTTCTTGGATAATATTCTCGGCCACCTGAAATAAGAACAGTATGTATGCAATTAAAAAAAATTATGCACTTTGTTTGATATCTTTGATCTTTTGTGTTCTATAGTACAGTAAAATTGTCATTGAGTAAAGTCAGCATGATTACTGACACATAATATGAACTATTTAGGGATGCCTGGAATGCTTTGGGGGAAATGCCTAGAGAGGAGGCAATGGAGAACTATGTGGGAGAGCTAAAACAGGTAAATCTTTTATAACTTGTCTTTATAAATTTGATATTGTATAATCTGTTTCTTTATACAGTGTTTGTAACTTGTATGTTATTAAGTTTTAATTTTTGTAGAATGGTTTTTTCACTGCCATATTTATAAACAACTCTTCTAGCACCAAGTATATTTTCAGATGCGTTATAAAAATTATAAAGGCATGTTTCAGCAATTTATTACTTTTATGAAACTGATAAACTTCAAGGTTGTACAGAATTCCAAATACTTGTGCAGTGCTCTAGAGGGGTACATGTATGTGCCAATGGCAGTAAAAGAGTCCTTTGTTCTGTTATTAAATCTCAGTTTTAATTTTTTTGCAGAATTGTACCTCTGAACCAGTTATTCATATAAAAGTCAATATAGTTTTTGGAATAATGTGTTTTACTAGTGCTTAATAAAGTAAAAAGATCCTTTCTGAAATGGTCTTACCTCTCATACCCAAAGTTATCTTGATCCTGGACTGCCCTCTAAGCACTGCTAAAACTTTTTCACTAACAGCGCATCAGTCTTTTATACCCCATAAGTTTTGTGCCATTTCAGAACATGTGCTGATCATGTGACTACCCTCCACCAATCATTCTGAGCCATTTTTCTTAGCACAGCTAGCTCTTCTACTATTCTAGAACAATCCACATTTTAACAATTGGTATTCTAGTATGTAGACACATGTTTTAACTTGCTCTCTTTGTGACTACAAAATTTTGGTTGTGCTTGAACACAAATTTATATTAGTTTCAACTTCAAGTTTTGATTTCTTGTATTTGATTTCCATTGTTTCTACTTGTTTCTTATGAAAATATTTGTTTTCTGAATTCTAATTTGTTCATATGAATTTAAAATTTAATATGGTGAATGATGAAATTCCTGCGACAGTCGCCAATGGTTCTGACACAGGTTTCAAGGTTGATGATTTCTGCTAGGGAAGTACAGGCTTTAGTTTGTGGGGAGTTTGTGTCTTACATTTGGCTGTTGATATCTTTCTTTTACATTATGATTTTTTTGGGAGGAAGGATATAAGTACTGAGTGTAATTTCTTTCTGCTGCACTTTCCACTTGTTACTGCACCTCCATGTAATCTCCTGGATTAGGTACTGTTATTTTTCCCAGGAGATCTGTGGTAATGTTTTCATCATGTATTCCTCACTCCCAGTAGGTGTACCCATGTTTAGCGAGTTTATGTGAACCTGTGTGGAGTTACCTAATTTCCTCACACGATAATTTCAATCTTTCATGTCTTCTCTGCTCAGTATTTGGTAAGTTTTATTTTTTTACCATCTAAGTTACTTTAGTTCAAATTTGCATTGAGGGTTTGATTATTACTTTGTTTTTGTATAATTTTTGGTATATGTACGAGTTTTGCGTGATAGTTACTGTTTGGGTAATTGTAACTTCAGCTAGTTTTGTGGGTGTATTGGTTTGTTACTTATATTTTCTTTCACTGTTTATGTTAGTTTGTAAGTTCCTTTTTCTTTACTACTAGTTATTGTTAACTGGATGCTTTTTCACACTCATGCTCTTCAGGGTAGATTTTACTTTTGTGTCCTTTGTCTTTCTTATTGGTTCTCTGAGTGGTCTTATAAGTTTGATATTTATGTGTCTTTTATCTTCTCAGTTCGTTTTGTGGTTTTACACTTTAGGTGTTGCTTATTGTTTTATGTTTTAGGTCAAATTTCATAGTTTTGCAAGTTTGTTATTTATATGTACTTTGTAGACTACAAATTTCTAGGTTTTGTTAGTTCATTAGTAATGAGTACTTTCTCTAAGTGTGTTTAGTTTATGTGTTTATATGGGTTTTATGGGTTCTGTCTGAAGGTTTCTGACTTCAGTTCTACTCCTCTCCCATCCACTTCCCAGACCTCCTTCCCTCACCATCATACTTCTTCCAGTCATCTTGCCTAGTCTGTTCAAGATCTACTACACTTAGGCGTATGGGCTTGATTTTGATCAGGAGGGGAGGCAAGTAAGTTTTGCCCAAAAATCTAAAATCAACCTTAAAATCATGTACTATAAAGTTTATAGTCACTGGAAAAAAATGGTTCCAATGACTTCCATACAGAATCATATGGCAATAAAGGGTTAAAAATGTGCGAGTGAAAATATCACATGGGTAATATATTTTCTGAAAAGGCATAATCAATTTGCAAATATAAAAGTTATAAATATGTACAGAGCTTTTGCTCAAATATTTTGGGTGATTTTTGCCGGAATAACTATTTTGGTCAGAATTTGAGGGGCAATTGCCCCCTTCAACTCCCCACCTTCTACACCTATGCACTTAGGAGCTGTTGAACTGGTGGTACCCACACAACTGGGGTTTAATTCTGTCTAATTATTTCCCTTGAAAGGTGGGAGATTGGAGACCCATCCTAGATTTGTCCCCATTGAACTCGTTATCCGGAGCCACCTCACTTCTCCATGGAGTCCTACCTCTCACTTCAGTTTTATTTTCCTGGGACTCTGGATGACCAAATCATTGCAAGGGATGCCTATTGTCATATTCCAACTGCTCTAGTGTCACATCATTTTCTTCAGTTTGTTCACAAGGGTCGTGTTCTCCAATTTCAGGCACTGAATTTTGGTCCTTCTTTGACTTCATGTGTTTTGTTGAGTGGCATGCTTTTTTGCCTGTCATTTTCACTTGTTGGGCTTTTGGACTCTCCTTTCCTTTCCTTTATCAACTGGCTCCTGCTTGCCTCTTCCCATGCCCTGTCTGGTTGGAGAAGTCTGTACTTAACCCCACTCAATATCTTATTCCATTGAGGGTTTCCATCTTTGTTAAGCCCAGCCTTCTCTACTTCGGCTCAGGGATATGGAGCAGGCAGTCTTAATGGCCCTACCCTCTCCTTTTCTCACTGCGGGAGAGTTATCTCTCTTTTGGGGATGCGGGCTTCCTTGGAAGCTCTCATTCCCTTGGGTCGAGCTTGCATGCGTTCCCTTTAGTGAATGCTTCTTGACCAATAGAACTTCTCCCACGATTCTTTGGACCATCCTATTACTCTTCCCCTGGGATCAGGGCAAACTTTGCTTGGTAGCTTGACAGGGCAGGTGGTTTGGCCTTCTCTCCTATTTCCTTTCTTTCCATTTCCCACCTGTACTCTCATTCGTTTCCAGATAGTGTTCTGGTTCATTCCCTGAGATGTTATGTGGTTCATACTGTCTCCTTTTATATTATTTTTCCCATCTATTTGTTCCAAGGATTCCTTCTATGTCCCGCTGTGATATGTTCCCTATTGCACTCACTGGTTGAGTTTGTCAACTCATACAACTGGCATATTCTGACTTGTCCATGGAAGATTGCTGTCTGAATAGTGTTTCTTTGCATCCAGTTTTTCATCTAACTATGTCCTTAGCTGTTTACCTTTGCTGGCCTTTGGAGGAGATCATTCAGGCTGGGGTGTGGTTAGCTCCCAATACATTCATTGCACATTATTTGCACAAGCTGAATGTGTCTTTCTTGGTCAGGTATCATCTTCCTCCTGTGATATTTCTTCAGACATCTGTTCACTTTTGACTGGGGTAAGTTAACATGTTACTTTTTCTTTATATTTTTAGTTGATACGTGTTGTATTTTGGGATCCCATCTGGTAACAAGTGTTGTCTGGTCAGGTATGTTTCATACTTTCCATGTTTGTCAATGCCATGCTGTTTTAAGTCATGGTTATACAGCACTTTTTCACTGATTCAGTGCTGTACATCTCTTTTATGAATGCATTGGTGCCTGCCAATTCAGTACTGCCCTCTTTTTGTTCCTGTTTTAATTACTGGGTGAAGAGCATACCTGTTCCAGAAATTGTGCTGTACCCTACAAATGTGCTTTCTTTTTATATTCTTGCACACCTGTTCTTTCAGTGCAGTTGCTTTCCACTTAATTGGAGATTGATGCACCTTTACTGGCCCCCCCACCTTTGCAATGTGAGATTTTGGCTATGGGTGAGAAGAGGTAAGAGTATTTCAGAAGTAGAATAGTAGAGAAAGCTAGCTATGCTAGTATAAATGGTATAGTATGATTGGTGGAGGGTAGTCACATGATCAGCACATGTTTTGAAATGGAGCAAAACTGATGGGGTATAAAAGACTGGTGCATCGTTAGCAATGCTTAGAGGGCAGTCCAGGCTCGAGATAGCTTTGGGTGAGATGAGGTAAGTATCTATCAGAAATACATTTTCATATAAAGAAAATGTTAGCTTTTATTATATGTAGTACTGTTTAATAATGTGATTTTACTTCTATAGATCTAGTTTTATTTACAACATGCTAGAGTGTATTTTGCTAAACAAATCAAATGAAAATGTTCTGAATATGTTAATGCTTAACTTCCTTGCTTGGACATTTGATCTTAAAACAGTTCATATCTTTTATGCGAATCAGGTGTGTTCATGTAAAGTTTGCTCAGTGTTAAGCCATATTCTTTTGTATAATTACAGCAGAAATTTCTATTTATGTTTAAGTTGGCAGTGTTGATCTTCAGAGCTTTAAATTAAAATAACAGTTTGTTTGTTATATAATAAGGACTATTAAGTAGGTCCAATGTACTGCGTGTAAGTGTGTTTTGTGTTGTATAGAATCTTCTTTTCTTTATTATTAATTTTCTAATAACTAAGATAGTATTGTTTCTTACTTTGTTTAGATCATAGAAACAATGTCATTCTCTGACAGTGTTGCAGAGTTTATGGACTTAATAGGACCTGTGTGTGAGAGTGTTCCACTAAAGAAGTCAAACTCAATTCCTCATCTTAATGGTGATAAAGATTCAGAGGATGAGCAGGAAATAAATAGTTCTTCAGGTATTTTCCTTCTTTTTCATGTGCTAGTTACTGTGTCCTAAACAATTGACTTCTTACTTAACATTTCACATGGCCACATTTCACTGCTGCATCCATGGTATTAAAGTATTGCTTGGTATTAAAGTAACAAGAAAATAATGATCTTTCAAAGATTCTGAAATTAGTTTATTTTTTGACCCAATTGAACTTTTTAGGCCCAACTGAACTCTCTGTTCAGTATTAATCAATGCTCAGTTTTAAACTTCTGTTAACTTAAGTACGTTTTATACATCTTACAATAAAAACTTTACTTAAGAACAGCTACATTCATTTTTCACAGAAGTTGTTATCTTAGAAAGTAGTTCTACAGTTGCCATAAAATAATTAAAAATGTCTTTAGTTAACAGTTTTAAACTGAATATTTTTCTTTTATAAACTACATTATGCAAGGTCCAATAATTTTAGTATTTTATAATGGATTTTTTAGTACTCTTTGTATGCATTTGTAGTGTTATGGGAATGTTGTAAGGTAACTTTTGCATTAAATAACTAAATATGAGCTGATTTCTACAGTTTATAAATGTATGTGTTGATTACTGGTATATAATAGTTCTGTATGTGTTATTAAACTACATTTGTTTTGTAATTTTGTTTCTATCTAGTAAAAATAGGGCTGATTAGGCAGTGTAAATAACTATAGATTGTTTGTAAATTATATGTAATATAATAGCTTAGAACTTATTCCAGCATTGAAACAAGACTGAGAAGCTGTCAGATTGACAGATAAGTTCATTTACTTTTGAAAACCCATTAAATTTGAACAGTCAGCTAAAGTAATTCTTTTAAAGATTACAAAAGGAAACATAACTGAAATATCATTAGACACAAGAGGAAAGACATGCATACTTGAAGAAAACATCCAACGTAAACTGTCCACTTTAGGAAGTTTAGCAAGTGACCCAATAGTGTTGTGTAAGAAAGAAAGAAAGCTATTATTATCTGATTTTGGTTCTTTGTAAATTTTATTGTTTGAAAGATTAGTTGGAAATTGAAAAGAACTGACAATATTTTTGTAAATGAATTGATTTTAATTTTTTGTTTTTTTCATTAAAATCATAAAAGTCAAAGTTACAAAATGAAATTAATGTCAAATTTAGAATTTTAAAAAGTACACTGTATATCTAAGTATATGAACTTGCAATGCATAGTTATTTTAAATGTTGTGGGTAATTTTGTTTCTAAAATAACTTCATCAAAGAGTCTAGGAAATCAGGAAGTGTAAACTGAGTATGCTCCGTCTGTGCAATGAGTTGGGATAGGTTTAGTTCTCAGTTTTGTTTTTATTTGTTTAGGATCTATCATTCAGAAAATATACAGATCTAAAATCTGAATTATTTTCTTTTCTTACAACACTTGTTTTGCTATATGATATTAAACAACTAGATTAGTAGCAGTAGAATTTGGCAATTTAATTTGTTTAATCAATAAAATCTTATTACCTTTGAGCATCAGTTACACTGATTAGTGTAACATTGAATAATTGAAATCATGATTAAATCAATTAATGTAATGAAAATAACTGATTGAAATTAGTGTTTCCATTCATTACTGTTTGTGATTAATTAATCCAGTTATTGAAGTCTATGAGAATAATCTATTAATGAACCTGACAGTTAATTAAATTATCAAATTACAATAATTGACCAATTTTTGTAGCATACGAACAAAGTGGATCACTGCAATAGAAAGGAAATTTGAATAAAGTAAATAAAGTGCTAATTATTGCAAATGATAAATAACACTAGCATACATTTATATAGGTGAAAATTAGCAAAAAGTACTATACCTGAAATTAATAACTGTATGATTTCATGTTATAAGATATTAATACATTTTAAACTTCTACTTATATTTCTAGGTTAGTCCATTTTTGTTTAACCTTTCTGTATAAACTGTTATTTCTTTAAACACCAAGTGTTATTGTAAATACATTTCATATGAGATTTCTTGTTGACATATCTTGTAACTGTACAGAGTTCTTATTTTATGTTAGAATTAGCAAGTCCAGTAAGAAATGCTGCCCATTTATTGAAACGTATACAAGGAAAAAGGGTACCCAAACATGATGCTGATGCATCACCTGAACGCCTTCTTAATGGTGAGTTATCAGTGTTAAATCAAATACAACAAAGTCTTCTCCTGTTATCAGAGATCATTACAAGTTCTGTTTTCGTTAAGAAAAAATATACAGGGTGAGCCAAAAGTCCAGATTTTTTCCTATTGTTGTAAGGTAGGTATGGAATATCAAAAATCTGCTGACTTATAGTGTTGAGGCATATTGAGGGCCATTTGTTACCTGATATGCTGTCATGATGTAAAGGTCAAAACGAGGTTATTCAAATGCTATTCTTGAAATTATTAGTCTGAGGTAAATTGTGTTGATATAAAAGTTGTAGAACACAATGATATTACTCCAGAAAAGTTTCTTGTTTATTTAGTTTTCTCTTCTGAGTTCATCAGGAAATAATAACAAGAGAACAGTATGCATGTCTGTGAAATCAACTTAAATGGGTGATGTACCATGCAGTTGAAAACACGTACTCTGGTAAGAGTCTAGAGATAAATTATCAGCATATCTAGTCACAACACCACAGTAGATACCACGCCACACATTAATATGTCATTGTACTTAATCCTGGAGCAGTATAAAAGCATTTGCCCCCCCCCCCCCCAAATAAATACATGTGTATACAATGCATAAAAAATTCAAAATCTCTTTTCGTTTACGGCCCCCAAATGGTTGAGGCCATAGTGCAACTGCTCCTTTTGTCCCCACCTTTAATATGGCCTTGGATGGTAGTGGATTGTCAGATGCCTGATAGCGCACGTTATGGGTATTGACCACATCATCATGCGAGAACTGTGCTTTGTAAAACAACATAATATGAGATACAAACTGCAGATCTTCATCCAACATTGTGAGGAGTCAATTAAAAAAGTCCAATTGTAGCTCATAGTTTTTACTCTTCAAGATCTTGATGGCAGTGGACATGGTAAGGATGAAAGTTGTGGTGATTTAGTAAATGTACTATTGATCTTTAAATAAGGCCACTTTCTGAGGCAGTACCTCTTGTGCTGGTGTGGGGGTTTAAAATAAAAGAAGCAAGAACTGCTGTGGCATTGTTATTAATTGTAGCTGTTCACGACTGACCTGACCACTGTCATGGTTTGGTAGAGCCTGTTTCATGAAGACTGCAAACAATGCATAAAATTGTAGATGTACATGAATGCTGCTACCAAAGAAATCTTGCTGCTGCTACAGCATTCTGTTGGCATTCTCCTTAAAGTAACACCATTTTGGTACATTCAGTATTATTGTACTGTAATGTGCCAGGTTATGTGGATCATTCCTTCTCTGGGCTGTAAGGAATATTTTATACCATTTACACGAGGATGACCAGGGTGGGTAAATTGGGTATAGAAATGAGCCACAAGCAGGAAAGAGAAGTTGGTAGATGATGGTTTGCTTATATTTGCATAATTTTATATCTCACCCTGTAAATATTTTGGATTTAAAAATTGTACAAGTTTATGTGAAATCCATAGGAAAAACAATATTTCTGAGGAAATGTGTGCTACAACTTTTTATTGACATGTTTTGCTTCAGGCTGATAGTTTCAGAGAAAGCTTTTGATTGACCTTTATATCCGAACATCTGTGACAAGAATACTTTGTTCTTAAGCAGTATATTAGTATAGCTTCATATTCATGATAAGAAAAAAAATGTGAATTGACTTAATTTTTTAAGGTCAAAAATTGAAAGATTATAATGAAGTAGGCAATCTATGTATTAATTACTTATGTTGACCTATTAAGTGAAAAATTATGATAAGGATTATGCTTTGATTATAATCTTATATTTGCCTTAGAAGTTTATTGTATCAAACATCAATTAAATGTTTAATAACAAAATTTTATATTATCTTTGTGGTGTCTATTTAGCTATTAAAAAGTATTTCTACACAAAATTTTGGGAAAGATGGTTAATCTTTTTAACACTTGCATTTAAATTGCTCTTTTGAGCACCTTATTGTTAAATGGTTGTAGTTTATTTTTGGAAGACTCTAAATTTTGTTGTATAGAAATACCCTTGAGACAAGTTTTTTTCTATTAGTATTTCTAGTATTGAGAGTAAGATTTGCTCTTACAATTTTAATCCCATTCTGGTATAGGGTCAACTGCTCGGGTCTTCCTTTTGCCATGGACTACAGTCCTGTGCATAATTTCTAGTTGCACTGACCTCCCTCATATCCTTATCCACCATATTCTGTTCATCATATTATCTGTCTTCCTCTACTTCCCTCCACTGGCATTTCCAATGTTCTTCTCACTGCACATCTTTCTTTGCTTCATTCTATGTGTTTAAACCATATCAGTCTTGCTTTTTTGCTTCTTCTGTGATCTTACAGACTTCGACTCTTTTCCTGATGTCATCACTCATTATTCTTTCTCTCATAATATTCCTTAAATCCACCTTAACATTCTCATCTCAGTTATTTTTAAAATACCCTACTTCTTTCTTCTGATGGTCCAAATTGCTGCTCTATAAAACAGAACTAGTCAACTTATTGTTCTGTAAATTTTGCTTTTAAGCCTCTACAGTATTTTCTTATCAAGAATCATCCCTGAGACTTCCCTCTCTTTATTCCATCTAGCTCTTACTCCTTTCCTTATTTCCACTTTGCAGCCTTCTTGTTCATTAATGTTGGGGACTAGATACCTAAATTTATTTGACTGTTTTATATCAAAGTTGTTTCTGTCTTTTACCTGTAACTCTTGTCCCCTCTGCTGCATAGCATTACCTCAGTTTTTCCAATGTTTACCTTAAACCTACCTTTCTAAATTTTCCTGCCACATCCTGCACCTCTTCTGCATCCATTACTGCATCACAGTTGTTATAACCAAATCATCCGCAAACATGAGGCTCCAAAGTGTTCCTTTCTTTGCCCCCACACTCAAAACATTCATCACTATCACAAACAGGAAAGGGCTTGAAGCCAATCCTTAGTTTAGATCTACTTTTACTTCAAACTCTTTGTTTCTTCCTTGTCCTATTATCACTGGTATCTTTGCTCTATCATATATTGTTTGCACTATCTTCACCAACTTCTCTGAGGTTCGCATCTTCCTGAGACACCAGTAAATGTCTCGTGGCACCTTGTCTTTGCTTTTTCCAAATGCACAAAGCATCAATACAGCTTCCTGGTCCCCTATAAATACTATACCTGGCTATGACTACAGCATTCACTGTTCCCTTCCTCAACATAAAAGTGCACTGCATTTCATCAATCTATACAACTTCTCTTAGTGTATATTTTACTTCCATTTCAAACACTTTTAAAATGTTAAGTTAGCTTAATGCCTCTATAATTTTCACAGTTTAGTATGTTCTCTTTTTGTTTATATATAAAAACAAGTATGGCTTTCTCCTAACCTGATAGTATTTTCTCTTCTTTCTGTATTTCCTACGGAGGCTACCATACCCGTTCCAAATCCTTTATCATTTCCACTACCACTACTGATGGACCACTCACTTTCTCGAGTTTCATTTTGTCAATGACTCTCTTCACCTCTAACCTTCTGACTTCTTCCACTGGACTTTCCATGACTGCTGTTTTTTCCAAAATCCCTCTGTTATTTTCTGCATTCATCAGTTTTTCATAATACTCTTTTTCATCTGTTCTTAATGTCCTTTTCATCAACTTGAATACAACTTTTTATATTTATTTCTTTGACATCTCTTTTAGCTTTTTTTTGTTTTGCCATCCTATATATTGCTTTGCCTCTTTCTGGTGTTCCTAGATTTTCATACCACTCTTTTCAAGCTTTGATCTTTGTTTTGGCAACTACTTTTCATGCTTTCTTCTTCATTCTCCACATCTAGTTCTTGCATGTTCACTATCATTACTGGTAATTTCTTTAAATGCCATTCTCTCTTCTTTTATTGCCTGTTGCACTTCTTCATTCCACCATCATGTCTCTCCCTCTTGAGGCTTTCCTCCTTTTGTGACACCACAAACTTTAGTTGCTGCTTTCACCAGTATTGCTTTCATCTTATTCCATTTCTTATTTAATTTTACCCCTCTTCTCTTCCCAGATTTACTCTCTTCCCCCTGCATATCTTATGTTAACTTTGCTACTTTGTTTTTGTATTTGGAAAACTTGTATCCTTTAAGTTTTTCATTTCTTTTACTTTCTCTTATGCTACTCTTGCTCTTTTCTTACCCTCACGTCTGCAACCAATAGTCTATGTTGGGTCACTACTGCCTCGTCTAGAATCACTTTGCAATCCATAACAGTTCTCCTATCTGTTTTTCTTACTAGCACATAATCAGTTTGAGTTTCATATTGTCCCCTTTTGTAAGTAATGAGATGTTTCTCGCTCCGGTGAAAACTTGTGTCAGCAACGTACATATGTTATGCTCTGTGATAGTTGAAATTATTGCTTCAAATACAGTAAATTGTTCACAGAACTAGATTTATTTCAAGGATGTGTCATAACATAGTACATGTGTATTTAGCTTGATTATCAGGTGTTCATGGATTTTCATGTCCAGTTTTTATTACTATTGACCATGATATAATATTCTTATATTTTTTTACTTGTAAAAATTAAATCAGTACAATATTAACTAGGTACAGGTATTTGGGAAACAATTTTGCAGCTGCTAACTAACATTTGACATCTTGTTTTCATGCAACTAAAGAAATTTGCCTTTTATACCTATCTATCAAAGTTAACAAAGCCAAAGTAAAAAAAAAAAAGGTTACTGCTGTAATATAATAGACAGAAAATTATTACTTGTGTTAACATAAACAAATTAAATTTTGGTTGCTTGAAAGAAGTGAGTGAGAGTTTGAATTCATAATATTGTACCTAAATTGGAATAATTATGAAATATTTTGAAATTTAAAAGTAATGTTTTAAAATAAGTATGAAACAGTGGAGAAAAAAATTAATTTAGGTTAAATAAATAAGTCGGACATTATGTAGGTACACTGATTTCTCAAAAATGAAACATACACTGCTCAACTGAATTTGATTTGTCCACAAATTGGTGAGAAATTGTGAATGTTTCATGTGCTTTTAATCTCCATCAGGTTTCTGAGTTAGGCTACATGTCATGATCTTGCAGCTCTTAAACTGTTTTCAGTCTGTCCCATTTCTTCCAGGATGTATATGCTATTTTTTTTCTTTTTTTGGGCATATTTCAGTTTTAGAGTCATAGCCTATACCTAAAATTTTATAAAATACAACCTAAAGAAAACAGAGATGAAAGCTATGAAACGGTTAGTTGGGCTGCCCTTTGAATAGCTGAAGTTAAACCTAGATAAATCTCTCAATTATGAGTTATGACTTTTAATAAATATACAAATTAGACTACTCATTCTCTCCATGCAGTTTCATTTGGATTGTAAAATTGGAAAAATTTATCCAAGTCCTGTATTAGAGAAAATAGAAGTGTGAGTATAATAATTGAGTATAATTTTTTTTCAGTATATATTGATAGAGTTTATATTGTAGTAATGAATTAGCAATAGACATTTAGATGCTAGAAATATAATTATTGTGAATTAATATTCAAAAATGGTGAAATGCTCTGGCAGAGGTGTTCATTAGCTAACAAAAATAGAAGAGAAAAACATTCATTGATTATGCATTATATGCTATCCAGTTGTAAGATTAAAATTAAAAATGGGTTTTTTGGTATTGTTATAGCTTAGTAGGAAAAATTATTATATTTCAAGAAAAATTATGAAATTTAAAAAATGACAATTTCTAAATTTTTAAAATGGAAAATTAATGTGTGTGTGTGTGTATAATTGATTTTAGTGTTATGTGAACGAAGTGGCTAAGCCTTAATTAAAATTCTGGTATAGTATTTTTTGTTGAGATGACCAGAAAGAGAAATCAGTTTGTGAAGTATTAAGTTTTCTGCTTAGTGTGTAATTGTCAGAGTGCTATTGCTTGTTTATGTTTAAAGCTGGTTCTAGCCTTTCTAGCTGCAATTTCAAGGTTTCAAGATATTGAAGAAGAGAATTTTATTAATTTATTGCCCCAGTTGTTATTTCTGGTTCTTGCTAGAATTCAATACAATATAGGAAATGAAACAGTATATTTATAGACATTTCATTGTTTTTCTTTGTAATGGTGTATTTGTTTTTGGAATACATTTTGTGTTTAGATGCTTCTTATATGTTGTTGGATTTATTCATTGAATCCATTTCTTAAGGAAGATGCTAAGTCAAAGAATGATCATATTATGTGAAAGAGTATATTTTTTACTAACTCATGTGAAGAAACTTGACAATGTTTATAATTTGAAAACTTGCAGACCCTAGTAGCAAAGGGTTTTTTTGTTTTTTAATGACCACTGTACATGTATATATGTAATTTCAGCTGATATTCAACAGTACTTTAAAATTTCATGATGATTTGCGTCATTAAACATTCCATTTTTAAAGGCAGGTTTGATTTACACATATGTACTGACCTGTCTTGTTTCTTCACAAAAGTTACTTTCATTAATTATAAACCTAGAACAAGGAATCAGTGGACCAGAAAATAGTAATGGATTGAGTGAGAGTGGTGCTTCTGACAGTGAAGTGGACGAGTTCTCTGATACTTATGACCAAGTGCAAGAGGTAATTTTAATACCACGTTCAGTTTGCTTTACATCTTCATGTGAAACACCTACGTTTTTATATATATATATCTTCCATACAGTTAAACATTTTTTAAAAATTGAACTCTATGAATGTGTCGATTTAGTGCAACATTATAACTAAACTTGTTTCTGTTGGAGTAATATGTTGTAAAATGTAAAATATAAATTAGTTTGAAGATATAGAATATATATTATGATTCAGTAAGGAACTCTACTCTTATGAATAAAGGATAGTCTTAGAAGTGAATATAACCTGCATCACAACTTTTTAATAAACCCTTATTTTTTGAATGCTTGAATTGCCACACATATTCATTCATTCATACATATATACATATTAACATTATTATTTCATGACAATTTGAATCATAATCCACAATTTAATAAACACCAATAGTATTTATATGTGTTTGTAGGGCAGACAGAGTTTAGATTCAATCACTCATTGATGCCAATTTGTGATTGTTTACATGTCTAAGTTTATTTTGTTATATATCTGATGAGGATTGGTTGAACGAAGTTAAAAACTATTGGTATTCCTAGCTTTCTTTTATCATTTTACCTAGTATTAAAAGCTTGGCCACCATACTTACATTTATTCAAAGGCTGAGTTGCGATTTTTTCTTTAGTTTTATACATATTTACACAAAAAAGTCACTTAGTACTGCTCCAATACTTTATGAAATTCCTTTGAAACTAATGTATTGCCTTTGAAGTGAAAATTATGCATGACATTGCTTGGGTTACATAAACTAAAGACAACTTTTAAGTTTTATGAAATACAGTAAGTAACATAGTTTCAGGAAAAAATATTAACATCTCAACAATAATTTTTGAATGTTTACAAAACATGTGAAATCTAATTCAAAGGAAAACAGTATTTTTTTAAAAACATGTTCAACCTGATTCAAAAACTTTTTTTTCCTAGTTTTTAATTTCTTATACAAATATTTAAGAGTTAACTGATGTTCAAAGCATTATTATTTATAACAGTAAATTTATAAACCTGCAATATGCTGAATATTCAGTGATCAAAGTAATAATGCTTTCCGATATGATATCTTACCACTTCTCACAAAATAGTTTTGCTCAATTAGTGCTGCCCTCTATTATGCACCAAAAGGGCACGACACAACCCCTATCATAACCAGCACCCTTTCCACATTTTCACTTGTTAATCACTCCTCAATTGGCAGTAGTACTGTACAGATGTGCTTGTTTTTGACGTTTTCCTTTATACTAAACTTAGTTTTTCTTTAATATTTCATTAATTCTTTGCATTTTTGAATTATGAAAGGTTGCTTTTTCCAACTTTTCTAACTTGTCTTTTTTTTTTTTTTTTGTCTTCAAGTTTGGAATTGTCACTATGCACTTGCATTTTCAGGTAGTTACAACTACCAAAGCTGTTACTGCTGCTGCTGCAGGTTTCCCGACCACTACTACTAGGTTGAGTACTCAATTATTGGCTGAGGTTGTGACGGCGATTATTTGATGAGAAATTTCCATGATCATGTAACCGTTACCACCACAAAAGGAAAATCCTGTCATGCCTGCTCCTGGGGTTTCTGACAGAGAAGACAAGAATTTGGACAGCCTATTCCCCTCTCCCCTGAATATGCTTCCCAGTCACATATGATATTGGAGGACTTACCCAGACCTCCATCACCCTTGTTGGAATTAATTAATCAGGTTTGTGCTGTCTTATCCTTATCTTTTGTTTTCTGTGATTCTCAACCTACCCTCCTTGATGAAGAATCTATGGGTCAATATTTAGTGTTCCCTCCCTCACCTGATGTTGGGGTTCGTGCCCAGCATTTGAGGATCAACTTTGGTTTGGGGTTAATATGTCTCATCTGCCTCATACATTTGAAGATCATGATTATGCATTTCATAGATCTTCCTTCCCTTATTGTGATTCCCAGCATTTGGAATCTCTCATTACATTGTGTTTGAACCCTAATACATCGGTGAAGTTTCCACAACTTTTATTTTCTCATATCAGACTGATGTTGTCCACAATTCTGCTTGCATTATTGACTATGCACTTGCTGTTATAGGCAATTCAATTGTCTCTTGAGGGGTTTTCAAATGATGTTTGTGGTCTTCTGTTTACTACGTTGGCTCACCTTTCATCTTCAGCTCTGGATCTTCAGATGTGGCTGATATGGTATTGGGACCTTCTTAGTTGTGATGCCATTCTTTCTTGTACATTTACTCACTACTTCTCTGTGTGACTTATGCACAGCACCTTTTTTATGTGAAGAGGTGTTTGGGGGTTTTCTCGACTCATTGGAGGCCTGAGATGAGTCTGTATGTCTGCATAATTCATTATTCTCATTAGTTTCCTGTTTATCCCAACATCCTCCTACTGTTTTTGCGCCTGTCCCCCCCCCCCTGACCAACCATTTGCCGATCTCTGGTTTTTGTTCTTAATCCATTTACAGTCAAGTTTTTAATCGAAGGTGTTTCAGAGGATTACAGCATCTGTGCCTCAGCCACATAGTCATGGCCAGTGTGGGCAAGGCTTTTCCATTTCACCATGGGTCCTACAGGTTCTTTCAGAGGGTTCTGGCCCTTCACTTCCATTCCCCTTCCCTATTGCCTCCCCCCCACCCCACCAAAGGATCCTGTTTCTTGCCAGCTATTATAGATACAGGACTTACTTCAGAAAGAGGCCATAGAACTTGGGGGACTTTCTCAGCCAGAGTTTTACTCACGTCTGTTCGTAGTACCCAAAAAGATGGGAGATTGGGGACAGGTTATAGATTTATTGTCCCTGAACTGTTTGCTGGTCATATCCAAATTCACGATGGAGTCTTACTTAACCTTTCGATGGGTTTCACTCCCAGAATAACTCCCACGAAGATTAACATATTGGGTGCCTGTCTGCACATTCCCATCTTCCATGCAACCCAACATTTCCTCCGTCTTGTTTATCAGGGGCATACTTACCAGATTCGGGGTCTACCATTTGTCCTGGCCTTGGCTTCTTATGCCTTCTGCCAAGTAGTCAGGTCATTTCCTCGACTGCTTCATGCTGGAGGCCTTTGTTTCCACTACAGCAACTGGATACTTTTGGGTTTCTCTTAGGTTAAATCTGGTGTTCATAGTCAGTTTCTTCTTTGAGAGGCTGCCAGAGTGGGTTGATTCATCAAGGTGGAGAA